AACCGTGGTAGAATTTACTACTGTGTAAAAGGCAAAAGTGCGGCTCGTTTTTGGGATGGTGCAAGATTTCATCAGTTGAACAAATACCACTCGACCTGACCCCACCATTGGCGTGTGACTTGGTTGTTGTACGTGAAAAGGTGTTGTGGAAATGGCTAACTGTTATAGCTTTTTTGTTGTCTTTTTTGTTTGGCCGTGAAAGAAATTATGTGATGTAACACTATGTACTTTTAACCTTTGTGTTGGAATGAAATTATGTGTTCTTGATGTGTTGTAATAGCATACATAGTTTCCTGAATAATTTAGAATCAGTTGAGATTTTTTGACATGTAATGGAGGTCACAATCTACACAAATTAGGAGAGGTGATAATCTTATATTTAGGAATAATTTACAGAAAATCCCATGAGGTTCCACAAACAATTTTTAGTCATACTGATCATGTCAATGGCTTCCACAAACAATTGCATTTGTCTGTACTCTAGTGTGGCTTGCATCCAGTTTTGATCATGTTACTAATCATGTTAATGGCTTCTACAAACATTGAATTGGACATAGCTTGAAACAATGGTATTATACGTCACAACATCTGGCCTAAGTCCTAAATTGTGTGAAGCTCTGTGAAAAACCCCTCGAGGTGTCCGACATCCGTAGCAATGACTAATTGCAAAACCAAGCAATGATTGCATAACCTGTATCTTTGTTGTGAAATACAGGACCAAGCTATATTAAGGCAAAGAATGATTGCATTTCTGACTAACCTTAGCGGTGATCAAAATGTAGATTTTGCTAACCGTTCCGATAACCTGCATACTTCTTCATTTGAAATGCCAGGACTGAGTTGTTGAAGGTTCTGGATGAAGACACTGGCCTCATCTTTCCTCCCCTGCTTACAATACCCATCAACTATGGCATTGTACGTACTCTCATTTGGCTTGCAACCATTTTTAGTCATGTTACTGATCATGTCAATGGCTTCCACAAACATTGAATTTGTCACATAACTTGAAACAAAAAACCACAACCATGTATCAGAGCTTGGGAATGTATCACGACCACAACCGCTCACAGAGAACAACATTATCAAGCTCAGCATGTTTAACCAAGGAACATAAACCAAGCTCAGCATACATCACAACCAACAACAAATCTTACATAAGCAACATGTTTAATAATTTAGAATCAGTTGAATCTGCAGCTTCTAAGGTCACAACCAACAACAAATCTTCCTAAGTGCAGCATACATCACAACCAACAACAAATCTTCCTAAGTGCAGCATACATCACAATAAACAAAGACTGAACATTTTGAAACATTTTGAAAATAGTCCTTACAATCCTTACAATAATCCCAAGTTTCCATCAACAGCTTTTCAACCACTTGTTAAAACAGATTTCTGCACCACTCCTCGGGTTCATTCAAAAAGATTCACATCATCCTCATCTTCACTTGATATCTCATTACCCTCTTGCAAATTCACATCAACGCATGTAGAAGACCTACATTATATTAAATATATATATAAATACATCAAGAGGGATACTAGAATGTGAAAAATAAAAAACAAAAAGAATAGAAGAATTATTACTTACGGATTTGTGAGTGCCGGACAACTTCGTTTATCATGTGATTGGCCTACTTTTCCACACCCGTGACAACGTCTCTCTCTTTTATTTTTGATTCTAGCCATTGCTTTCTATTTTCCTCCTTTCAACCTTTTGCCGCACCCCTTTGCTCGCACTTGATTGGGTTCATTGAAACTACTTTGAAAAGTGCAAGAACAAGGCGCACTTGTACCATCACCATCACCTATTATATTACTACCTATTGAATTACTTTTCTCGGTGAAGCTCATTACAGCCATGCGGCTACTAAGAAATTGACTTATTTGCTCATTAATGCTTCGCAAACCATCGGTAAACATCGTCCTTGTTTCTTCACATACGAGGGACTTGTCAACTAAATCCAAAGATGATTGGATAAATTGACTTCGCGTTAAAAAATAATGTGTGTATCGGGCACTGTCCCTGATTTTGCAGACTTAGTCCACCTCTTTAAGATGTATTTATCGGGCAATATTTCAGCATCAAACTTCATCAAATATGAGATAATGTGTGTACATGGGATTCCGGCGCTTTCGAATTTTTTACAACTACAATAAACCAAATCCAAGTCCTTGTCATAAACGATTTCGCGGACTTTACTTCCTGCAAGCTTCTTTCTTTGAATTTGATACACACAATGATTGTCAGTTTCCCTAACACATTGCAACTTGTAGTTAAAGCTGTCACACACTTCAGCCTAGAAAATGTGATTAACATATGCAGGAATCCATCTTGACCGAAGTTCATATTGGTCTTGCAACCATTTGTTTCCTTCTAACCCACTCTTCTTAATCAGACTTTCCCATTGTAAATCAAATTCTTCAGGAGTCTCTGATTTCCAAATGCAAGCCAAAAACTCACTCTTATAAATACTATACTTCACTGCATCAATTTTCTCAGAAAACTTCATTAATATATGCCAACTATAATACCTGTCAAAAGAAATTTCAAAAGTGTTAAAAAAAAGACAACGTGTATAAATATTATTTGGAAGAAAGACAATGTATACAAACTATATTACCTGTGAAATGTATTTGGAAGAACAAGAGGGAATGCCTTAGTCATAGCTGGATCTTGATCGGTAATAATCATCTTCGGGGCACCACCAGGCATACTTGCCAAAAACTGATTAAATAACCATACAAAATCATCAACGCTCGCATGATTTAAAAATCCACAAGCAAAAAGGATTGTCTGACCATGATTGTTAACCCCCATTATTGGTGCAAATATTAGGCCATATCAATTAGTGTTATAAGTGGTATCAAAGATTACAACATCACCGAAAAAATTGTAAGCCCGCCTTGAAGTTGCATCGGACCAAAAACAACGAGTAATCTTTTGTTCCTCATCAGCCTCAATTTGAAAAGTAAACGAGGGATTCTTTCCTTGTTCCAATTTTAAATACTCATAAAACATTTCACCATCATGCCCTTTCAAATCAGCACGTATATCCCTTTCATGATTATACAAATCTCTTTGAGTGCACCCAATATTTTCTATGCCTCCAGATTGTACTCCAAGAAAACTAAATTGTTGATGCTGAGGTATATTCATCATGGAGCACTACAAGAAATACAATATTTAACGACCAAAATTAGTAAAGGGATTAGTTGACCGTCGTTAATGTGCATCTAATAACGACGGGTTTTTAAAGCCTTCGTCGAGTGATTACAAATATTATAGGAATGATGTGAGATGGGTAACTGTTTTCTAGTCCCTTCATTAATTTGATCCTAATACCGTCGTTATTGGGTCCCATTAAAGACGAAGGGGTCCATTACCTTCATTAATCATAACTCCTAATGCAGCTAACCCAGTCCGCCCACCTTTCGACGTTGCTGCAGCAAATCCCAGCACCGCCGTCGTCATCTCGAGATCAGGCCGCTCCTCGTCGTCGCGCGCCGTCTCGAGTTCAGTCGGCGTCGTCAACATCTGTTCGTCGGCTCCAGTTCGTCGGCGAGAGTCGGCGTCATCTTGAGTTCCCCGTCGTCAACTACAGTTCGTCGTGGTCTCGAGTCGTCGTACGTCTTCAGTTCGTCTGCAGATCTCGTCGTCGAGATCTCGTAGCCGTCGAGCAACGCCACAGAACCGCCCAGCGTCGTCGTCGCCCCAGCGCCATCGCCGCCCCAGCGCCATCGCCGCCCCAGCGCCGTCGTCGAGAACTCTTCCTCCATCGCGCGGCTCGACGTACGGTAACTTGTTCAGTTACTGTTTGATTTTAGTACACACCCTATACTTTAAACTAGATTGCACTTAAGTACCCCTTGTAACAATTAAAGCCAAAAAGATTTATGAATTTGCAAATAGGTGTTGATTCTATTCTTTCCATCAAAAAATATTTATATGATTGTTTAAAAACTTGTTCAGTTACGGTCTCTTATTTCTTAAAACATTTATATGATTGTTTAAAAATATTTATGAATTTGCTAAATTGATTCCTCGAAGGTAATTTTTGCAGTTACTGTTTGATTTTAGTACAGACCCTATAGTTTCAACTACTTTGCACTTAAGTACCCCCTTGTAACAATTAAAGCAAAAAACATTTATGAATTTGCAAATAAGTTTTGATTCTATTCTTCCTATAAAAAAATATTTATATGATTGTTTAAAAACTTATACCAATCCCACCGATAAGTAATTGCTTAAGGAAATTATTGGAACAAATTGACAAGCATTGGTCATCATGATCATTATCTAGATTTGGAGAATTCCAATGGCAGACAAGATAGTATTCAAAAGTTCTTTATTCTTAAAACTATGATATTTCTATTATTCACGTACTCCGTCTACATCTCCACTTTCACGTGTTGTCCAAATCCTTACTCAATCCCCGCTCTTTTGACTGCTCACTCAAATGTTCATCGCTACAAGAAATCTAGTATTTAACGACCAAAATTAGTGAAGAGACCAGTTGACCATCATTATATACATGTTGCAATTATATTGGCTTAAAGTACCCTATACATGTTGCAATTATATACCCTATAAATGTGTGGTATTTACTTAAGTTAAATGAATTTTAAATGATTATTTCTTTAGCTATTCAGATGTACTTGTCAAGCTTGGACATACCACTTTCCATTAACAAGTCATTTTGTTAGTTATAATCATAGTTCCTATGTCACATGTGCTTTGAAAGGAAAATGAGTTTTTTTTTTACTAATTTGTTCTATTTACTAATTTGTTATATGGTAGTATTTTTGCCTTTAAATTGACCCTATAATTGCATAAATAAATACTTTCTGAATGACACCATATATAGGTTAACTTCTTTGCATTAGAATGACCATATATCTGAACATATGAGTCTCTACATAAAATTAAGCATTTATTTGTGTTTAGTTTTTGAAGAGGTTGAAATATTTTTCAGGAAATTTTAGTACATTGCTTGAAATGGCGCCGAATAAAGATTGGATGGACCTAGTAGATGATGATAGACTTGATCCAAAATATAAAGAAGGGGTTGATCAGTTTTTAGACTATGCATATGAGAAGCTGTTGGATAGTTTTAATGAAAAGGATGAAGACTTTGAAATTCGATGTCCATGTGTTAAATGCAGCAATGTGAAGTCTGGTAATCGTGAGTCGGTAAAGACCCACTTGATTGTTCATGGAATTATTAAAAACTACAGATTTTGGTGTCATCACGGTGAAAGACATGGTGAGTCCATATCAGAATTTGATGAAGAACAAGAAGAAATGACAGAAGAAAGCCAGAGTGACGATGAAATGCAAGAAATGATTGGAGATTTATTTCATAATTCAACTGGCGTTGTTGCACCTGATGCCACGTCGAGTCAGGATATTCTTGAGCAGGAACCAGATGGACATGCAAAACAATTCTACAGTCTTTTAGGTGACTCCGAGAAACCTTTGTATGAAGGCTCTAAATGTTCAAAGTTATCTGCTTTAGTGAAACTACTTCACATAAAGAGCCTAAATAGGTGGAGTAATAAATCATTCTCAATGTTGCTCCAGTTTTTGAATGAGGAGCTATTGCCAGGGGAATCAACACTGCCTAATTCGTATGACGAGGCCAAAAAATTAATCCGAGACCTTGGCCTATCATATGAAAAAATTGATTCGTGTCCATTCTCTTGCATGCTGTTTTGGAAAAATGAAGAAGGTCTTGATACGTGTCAGAGATGTGGTGCTTCTAGATGGAAACTTGATAAACATGGAAAAGAGATCAAGCGAAAGGCAAATGGTAAAAAAATACCTCAAAAGACATTGCGATACTTTCCTCTTAAGCCACGATTGCAAAGGCTTTACATGTCTTCGAAGACAGCTTCTGATATGAGATGTCACCATGAAAGACAAGTTGGGGACGGAGTGATGAGGCATCCAGCTGACTCTAAGGCTTGGAAAAACTTTAATGAGCTACATGAAAGCTTTGCCGAAGAGCCCCGAAATGTTAGACTCGGTCTTGCAAGTGATGGTTTCCAGCCTTTCACAAATTCAAAAGTTTCTTATAGCATATGGCCTGTTTTTTTTGTAGAGCCCCGAAATGTTAGGCTCGGTCTTGCAAGTGATGGTTTCCAGCCTTTCACAAATTCAAAAGTTTCTTATAGCATATGGCCCGTTTTACTTGTACCATATAACTTACCACCATGGATGTGCATGAAGCAATCTAATTTTATTTTATCTATGCTCATTCCTGGTCCAACTGGTCCTGGAGATGCTATTGACACCTACTTACAACCATTGATAGAAGAACTAAAGGAGTTGTGGGCCTCAGGCGTTTGAACATATGATGTATCTCTGAGACAGAATTTCATTTTACGTGCAGCACTAATTTGGACTATTAATGATTTTCCTGCTTATGCAAATTTATCTGGATGGAGCACTAAGGGGAAATTAGCATGTCCTTGTTGTAATAAGCACACTCACTCTATCAGGTTAAAATATGGAGGCAAGCAGAGCTATATGGGGCATCGTCGCTATCTTGATGAAAATCACAGTTGGAGAAAGGATAAGAAATCATTTGATGGCACTAGGGAGAGAGGGTATGTAGCGCCGAAGCTGACCGGAGATGACATCCTTAAGCAGGTGGAAGATCTTATAGGGATCACCTTGACCAATCATCCAGAGAAGAAAATTAAAATATCACACGAAAGGCGGGGAGATAATTGGAATAAAAAAAAGTATTTTTTTTGATTTGCCATATTTGAGAACTCTCTTATTGCGACATAATTTAGATGTCATGCATATTGAGAAGAATATTTGTGATAGTTTGCTGGGAACAATCATGAACATTAAAGGAAAGACAAAGGATAATATCAAAGCCCGTCTCGATTTACAAGCAATGAGTTTAAAACCGAAGTTACATCCAATCCAGAGAGGAGATAAACTTGTGATGCCAGCAGCTTGTTATACTTTATCCCAAGAAGAGCAAAACAAATTTTGTCGATTTCTAAAGGAGTTAAAAGTTCCAGATGGATTTTCATCCAATATTTCTCAATGTGTAAACCTTAAAGAGCGTAAGATTTTGGGGTTAAAGAGTCATGACTGTCACGTTCTTTTGCAGCACTTGATTCCTGTATCGATTCGTGGCCTTCTTCCTGCAAAAGTGTGTGAACCAATTATTGAACTTTCCATATTCTTCACTATATTATGTGCCAAGACATTAAGGGTGGATGAACTAAAGCAAATTGATGAGCAGATTCCACTGACGTTATGTAAGCTTGAGAAGATTTTTCCACCTTCAATTTTTGATGTCATGATGCATTTAGTAGTTCATTTAGCATCTGAAGCCATACTTGGAGGGCCTGTTCGATTTCGATGGATGTATCCAGTGGAGCGTCAGCTTTATACTTATAAGTCATATATCAGAAATAGGGCACGTCCAGAAGGGTCAATTGCTGAAGGATATATAGCAGATGAATGCATGACACTTTGCTCAAGATATCTAAAAGGCTTCGAGACAAAGTTTAATCGCCTTGAAAGAAATTATGAAGATGACAATAGAGAATGTAATGAAGCACAACTATCTATTTTCAGACATAGTGGGCGGGCATTGGGTGCTGCCACCACCCGCTACCTTGATGAACGTGAGTGGTTGCAAGCTCATATTTATGTTCTAAAGAACTGTGATGAAGTACAACCACACATTGAGTAAGTCACTAAAGTTTAAGATTCTACTAATAAATTTACTATAGTTAGTCAATGTTAATCATATTTATGATATTTTAATGTAGGGACTACAATGAATTCGTGAGAGAACTCACAAATCACTACGATGATAAAGATTGGGATAAGAACTTTATCGAGTGGTTCCAAGCTCTAGTACGTACATATCTTGCCTTATTTTTTAAATATCTTGATTGGTTCATTTTATTACATGTTCCATGACTTGATCATATTTTGGTTTTGTTTAGGTTTATCAGAGTTATCGAGAAGATGATGACTTACTTTCACTATCTCGTGGTCCAAGTAAGATTGTTAAATGTTTTACTGGATTTGTCATAAATGGACATCGATTTCATACAGAAAGGTTGTTCTATTTCGTTGTAAGTGGTGGGATGTGCACGGCAAAGGAAAAGAGACCGTTTTGAAAGAAGATAAATATGGATTTGTTAGTATTAACTGCCGACATTTGCTAAAGACGAATGACCACTTTATACTTGCTGGCCAAGCATCACAAGTTTTTTATGTTGAGGATATTGCCAATGAAGGTTGGCATGTAGTTCTTAAAGCACAACCCCGTGATTCCTATGATATGCCACCAGATACAGATGATTGTGAGATAACAGACGATGGAGTTGAAGCTTATTTGCAAGATGAATCATTTGATGCTCAGGCTATTGCATCAACATCATTGGAAGATGATTATATCAATTTGAGAAGGAGTGACATTGATCCAATTATTGTAAATTCGGTCTCAACTTCAAAAAAGAGGAAAAAGACTCAAGCAGAGAATTAGAACGCTTTAATTAAAGAATAGAACACAAATGATATTGTGTTATTAAGATAAATTTCTATTTCTGGCTAGCCTTAAGTTATTGTGCATTGATACTAGATTTTGTGTTTTTTCTCCCTGGGGTACATAGCTGACAACCTCCTTGTCATCATTATAGCAGCAATTCCGTTTCCAGTTTTGTGGAATCTGTTATCTAAGGATACCTTCAAATAATATGCTTTGATCAATTAATGTATAACCAGTTATCTATAGTTATTGTAGTTTCCAGCAGCATTTGAACAAAGTATGATAAATATGTCTTTAGTGTAAGATTGTACCTGCTCGCATGCTTGACAATTATTAACATATAGCTTCAGAGTACTATCATCCATAACCATCAAACTCTATTCCAACTGTTTAAGCTCCATTTTATGATTCCTTTGCCAATCATCCTATAATAACTTCTACTTTAAATAGTATATGTTTATAATCAAGCTGTGTCCTTTCTACTTCTGTGTTATCAAGAGCTTGTTATTGTTAAAATTACCTTGTGTTAGTTGTTGACTTCGGAGCAATTGATAGAATGAGATCAATGTGGCAACCAATAGCTATATATTCTGTATGATAAAAGCTAGTTTCGGGATTTGAACATAAATCAATAACTAAATAAGCAAGTAAATAAATAAACAACCGAATCACAGAAGTAAGCTCTGGTTAAAAGTAGTCCAAGGTGAAAGCATGTATTATGTATTTATTATTATGCTTGTTCTTGGGGTTTCTTTTTCTTTTATTCATTTCTCTTTTGACATTTGTTTTATACATAGTGTATGACACTTAAATTCCTATTCATAGCAGAAAAATGAAAACTTAAGAAGTCACTTCCAAAAGCAAAAGGGCACAATTTCTAGCACCCAGGTCATTAATTAGGAAGCGACTTCAAGCACTTGGAGAAAATTCATTAAGAAGGGAACAACTCCGTACTTGTCATGACAAGAACTTGAATATTCAAAATCCAATACAATATCAAAATATGGGTACAAATTTTAGTGCTGATTCAGAAAACTTTGAAGAGGAGAATTTTGCACAAAATCGCAGGAGAAGTGCAAATATTAACAATGAAGAGAATGATGATTCTGCAGGTTGATGAGACTTAAAATTTATTGTTATTTCTTTTTTATCTTTCAATTTATTTTTTATGATTGGATTAATAATTGCCCAATTTTTTGCAGAATCAAATAATCATCGAGTGCAAAGTGATGATGTAATACTAAATGAATCTCGACAAGAAGGTATATTCTTTATTAATTACAAGAAGTAATATTTTTATCAATTTCTTTTTACCTATATCTTGTTTCTAACATATGATATGATGTATGCAGCTGATAATTCTCATAAGAAGAAAAATCCACCTCGTGGTAATAATAAGTATCTAAAGTTGAATAATTTGTCACATGGGGAGAAAAAGATCATTACTTTTTATCAGAATAAAGCTATTGAGCCAGAATTTTCACGATATCTTGGAATTATTATTCGTGACAGAAATATTTGCCCAGTAGCTGTTGAGAATTGGGCCAAAATACCACTACAAAATAAAGATCATATGTGGGCATCCATTAAGGTACATTGAAAATTAATTAAATGCATTTGGTTTTTAATTCTTATAAATTAAATTTTGATTCAAATTTGATATAGGATAAATTTGATGCTGAGGACATGGAGCAAAAGAGAGAGTTAGTAATGAGACACTTGCGCGATTTGTGGAATAAGTGGCGTGGTGACATGCACAGGAAATATGTGAAAGAAAATTCATTACAAGTTGCACTTAGAAATAAACCTACAGAAGTGAGTGTTGATGACTGGGATTGGCTAGTTAAGGAACATTATTTTTCTTCAAAATTTCAGGTATTAATCTCCTAATTTTATTAATTTTGTTCCATGTATATTGTTGGATTGTTGAAATTATCTTTTAATCTTGATGTATAGAAATTAAGCCAACAAAATACACTTAACAGACGCAAAAGAAAGATGCTCCACCACACGGGCAGCAAACCCTTTAGACAAATTGCGTGGGAATCGGTATACATTCAAAACTAATTTCTTATTTATTTATAACTACTTTGTTTTTTAGTTTGATGTTGTACTCATTTTTATTTAATATTTGAATAAGGGTGGCAAGTCAGGAAATCTACCTGATGTGGCAAAAATGTTTCATGAAACTCGAAAGAAAGCTAATGAAACACTAGAAAATGGGAATCAAGATAAATATATAAGTAGAATATGTGTTTAAGTTTGATAATGATGCATTATATAGTACTAACATATGAATTTAATTTTTATAGGATGAAATTGTTCAAGTCAAACAAGCAAACCCTTCACTTTCTGACATTGAGATAGTTGAGAAAATCTGGGGGAAGCAATCTCATGGTCACATCACTGTATTTGGTGGCGGGACTACTTTGAAAGATTTGAGAGGACCGCTCCCTAGTCGATCTGATCTGGAAGCACGGGTTATAGAAGAAAAGAGAAAGAACCAGATGCTTCAACAACGCTTAGATGAGCAGGAGCAACAACAACAAAGGATGTCTGAGTTGGAGTCACAAGTGAAAGCTATGCAAGAACTTTTTTTTAGGCAATCACCTTCATTGACTCCTCAAACTCGAGAACATGTGCAGGACTAGGTAATTATTTTTTGTAAAATCTCTTATATACTTTTATGATTGACTACTTGCACTAAAAAATGTAATTTTTTACTTAATAAGATAATATTTGCTTAATTATTATTTCTTAATTATGTGATTTTTTTTCAGGCTATCCATGCAAGATTAGGAGGGGGTAGCTCGAGTCTTCTTTTGACGATGATTAGAGGTGTCAGAGATGTGTCTTCCCCAAACTTTTATTTTAATTTGTTTTAGATAGTTTCATGTATTTTTCTTTGGAACAATTAGGATATTAACTCTTATTATTAGTATTGAATATTTGAGGATGATGGAATTTTATTTATTGATGTTATTAATGAATGGAATTTTTATTTTACCTCTTATTCATTATTGGGTATTTTTCAAGGTTTTAAATATCGGATATCAGGGAAATATCGGATGACCAAAATTCATATCGGATTACGGATATCGGGGAAATATCGGGGATATGTGGTAAATATCGGAATGCCATAATGAATGTTTGCATACATAGTATAATGCATTAAAATGTAATCTCAACATATTTAATGAAATTTAAGCATACAAAATATGAATAATATATGTTTAGGATCACTAATCAATCTTCTAAAACAAACAAAAGTGCAAAGCAACGTTGCAACATTTCATCTGCTTTTTTTAGGGCAAAATGTCATTTGATATAATAGGGAAATCTTGATATCTCGCCCAAAAATTCCAAACACGGTATATTATTTTGCAACAAGTTATATAAAAAGATATATAGGTCCACATATCGGCTAATATATCGGCCATATCAGGGATTTATCACTCAAAATAGCCAAAAAACGGTAAAGGATATTTAAAGATCATATCGGTTGCGACAAGCCTTGTAAAAGGATATATCGGGGGATATATCGGGCCATGTCGGGGATATTTAAAACAATGGTATTTTTAATATGTTTTTGTTGTGAATCTTAGTGTCTGGTTGAGAATAATATGATAGTTGCCTATGAATGGAAAATTTATTATTAATGTATATTAGAAATTTCTAGTCTACAATGACGGTTTTTTAAACCGTATTTTGTTCATCAACGAAGGGAAAGCACTGTCGTTGATGGGTTACTAATTACCCATTATGTGGACTTTTACGACGGTATCCAACCGTCATTAATTAGTCTTCAACAACGGGAAAATATCCCCGTAACTAATGGTAACGATGGGAAAATATCCCGTCACTGATGGTAACGACGGGAAACTATCCCGTCACTGATGGTAACGACGGGAAAATATCCCCGTTACTGATGGTAACGACGGTGATAATTACCGTCGTAAATATTAATGACGGTAATATGTTCCGTCGTTATAGACTCTATAACGACGGGTAGTATATCCCTTCGTGACCCTTTAGCGAAGAGGGCTTCAACGACGGGTGACGAAGGGATTTTTCCCCATCGTTATCATACAATAACGAAGGTTTTCAGCTCTTTAACGAAGGAAAATCCCTTCGTTAAAGATGTAATTTCTTGTAGTGGAGAACTGTTTATTTAAAGACTTTGTTGCGGCTGAAACGTTACGGTGGGACCTTAATAGATGAACCTTTGATGGTGTTGATAGAGGGTGGTTGTGCTCCTCATTAAAAACAGTAACAATGTATTTTCCGGAGTTTGATTTTAAAACTGCAATTTTGGCATGACAATCCTCTGCTAAGCTTCCTCGACGTCTTTTATTTTCAACATCCGCGATTCTTGAAGATTTTCCTTGTTTAAAACAAACATACACCTTCCTTCTTATTTCACCACTTCCCGACTCTTTCTGAGTAGTCCAAGCCCTTACACTAAACTCAGCTGCTTTTGCATAAGCATTGTAGAATGTCAAAACATCATCAATTGTGTCAAATTCTTGCCCCTTTTGTGGCCTCAACTCATCTGATACTTGAGGAGTATATATCGAGCTATCGTCATTCAAGTTTTCCATTTCTCAAAAAAAATTGTAATTAACCTATATAAAATGCATATAATATCAAATTTCAAACCAAATGTTACCAAATAAATAATTCATATCAAATCTGAAGTTAAATGTTATCGAATATTATTTTGAGTTGCTGCAACAAAAAATAATTGCTCAGCAGAAACAGAAATGTTATCAAATTTTTGACATTTTGATGCATTATTATGTACATGGACATGTTTTCAATGTAGCAAGAGCCGTCGGTAGGCGAAGTTGAAGGGTATAATTTCACTAGATACCCAATAAGTTTGGCCATTTGCACTTGGAATTCCAGAAAACCCCCAATAGCTCCAATTAATTATCAAATGCACAACCCCCAACTCCTACTCACCATCCAAAAAAATTCTAAACAATGTCTGAGGTCTATCTTCTCATATTCGGATCCTCTCTATTACTAAAAAGTAGCAGAGAAACACAATCGTCTATAATAAGTTGATGATTACTATGTATCTACGTGAAAAATAGAAATGAATGTAATATACAGGAGATTTGATAAGAGTTAAAATTTAGAATGAATTACAACCACCGGTTAAATATTAGACGATCGTAATCAAAGTAGGTATTTGAGCACGAGAGGTCTGAACCTGCAGCGTCGGATCCCTATAACGTCGGGTCCCTATACCAGTGGCTTCAACGAGATAGAACAGTCCTGACCCCGTCGGCGGCGAGAGTTGGGCACTTCGTCGGTTCGTCGGCGGGAGTTGAGCACGAGAGGTCGTCGGGTCGTCGGCGACTGTAGAAATCAACGAGGCTTCGTCGGGTCGGTTGCGGTCGGAGTGAGAGAGAGAATGGGATCAACGAAGTCTCGTCGGATCGTGGTCGGGTCGGCGGCGAGAGCAAGAGAGATGTAGGGTTTTGAGATCGGCTTTTGGGGGAGAGGCAAAGATGGATTTTGGGATTTTGAGATCGGCTTTTGGTGGAGAGGCAAAGATGGATTTGGGGATTTTGAGATCGGCTTTTGGGGGAGAGTTGAAGATGGATTTGGGGATTTTTAATGAAGTGAGAGAGAGAGAATGAGATAGAGCAGACAATAAATGAGCGGAGGATGAGAGAGAGAGTAAGCGGAGGATTTTTTGCAAAAACAACATTCTTGTGACGCCCCAGGGTTCACACAAGGCTGCAGTCCCAGGTGAAACCCGGATTGTCAAACCTGCCAAGCACTAACCACCATGCTATGACAAGTTTCACCATCACAATCACTATCTCTCTAGTGGAAACAATAAATAGGTGAAGGTACAGACAGGTAAAAAAAATAGAAATAGGACAACACTAGATATACACAGAAGAAGCATAAGAAAAATCAATAATGAGCCCAACTGGAATAAAATAGACATATCTCTGAGTCTGAATTGAATCTCAAATACAATGAGTCACATAAACAAAGTCTCACAATAACTCTCAACTCTATGAAACAAAATACCAATCTAGATTCTGAAAATAATCAACTACATGTGGAGTTATACAATAACTACAAAATATGATAAGTAACTAAATGGACAACTAAGAAGCCCCATCAACCTGCGACTCTCCGTGCGCCAGACTCGCTGCCTGAAAAGGGGGGAAAACAACGAGCGTCAAAGCGCTAGCGAGATCATCACTACCTCTTCCCAAGGGAAGGGATAGGAGTATATAAGAAAATAGAGTCAGTACATACATATATCAAATCATTCATATAACTCTCTATGAATAAAAAATAAATAATCAATGATAAATACTCCAATCTCCAACATAAAGAATAATCATCTCATCTCGAATTACGTCCGAGTGACCTGCTCTAATATAAGAGGATACCAACTAAACTAAAACAAATATATCTGCCGTTCATAACGGGTGTATCAAATTCTCAAAGGAAATACCCTACTCGCAGGTAATTTATCATAGAAGTAAAGCCTACAACTGATCAAATATTTATGTGTGCACCATCTTGTACTATAGCGATACTTTTGTAATGCTCGTTACTCAATCGCTCTGCGGCAATAGGGTTTATTATTTTCCTATTCCGGATACATATAATAACGATACTGTTGTAATACTATTACTCAATCGTTCTGCGGCAATAGGTTTTATCTCCCTATCCCGGATACATGAAATAACGATACTTTTGTAATACTCTTACTCAATCGTTCTGCGGCAAATAGGTTTTATCTCCCTATTTCCGGATACATGAATTAACGATACTTTTGTAATACTCTTACTCAATCGTTCTGCGGCAAATAGGTTTTATCTCCCTATTTCCGGATACATGAATTAACTATACTCTTTCATATGTATTCATCCGCTCAACGTGCGACAAAAAGTATGTTAACACAACATAATCTAAGTGTACGTGCACATATCTCGGTGTGCTTGTCCATATCTGGTGTTCATCATCATCCCAGATGGTAAACAACTCTTAAGCATTGTATATAACAGTACAAGATCGAGAAACTCTCTCAAAAATAACAAACAAGAGCGAAACTCAATAAACCTTTACGTAATATATCAATTTATTTCAAATCAGCACATCTGCAGTTTTCTGCAGAACATATCAATAGTAAATTGAGAATATCTTTCTCTGAACAAACTCTTTTTAAGAATAGTTTTTCGTTTTGGAAACTAGACTCACATAGCTATTATTTGCCATTGA